CCCCAATTGGATGACACGTAACTGCTGGGGTACGTCAATTGAAGGCATGTTTAAATGCAAGTATAATTATATTTTTTCTAATCAACAAGTAATTTGCGTAGCTGTGTTCATGAGAGTGAAATATTTCGTTTGTCATTACATGTATCGACCGACCTCTATCTATCTTTGTTGATTTCCTTTCTTATTCATCTCGTAGAAAATCGAAGCGTGTCCGTCAGATTTTGCCTTAAATGGTAGACCGGTATGGGGAATCACGCGATGAAGGAGGGGCAGACACGCGCAGTTTAGCCAGTTACTGTATGTAGGGTGAAGTAAAGGCCTCATGTGTGTAATAATACCATTGAATGATCTTTCTTGGATTCCAATGTTTCTAGAATGAGTTATAGGATACCATTTTTTTAAACTGTTGCTTGTGTATTAATTGTGTTATCTTCGTTCCATATCGCAGTTTTAGTTTCCCTTGTACGCTTACTTAAACTACACCCAAACACAATCACGTGCTTATTCAGGTACTCTGTATTTGATAATTAATGTCAAAGTGCATACAATTTATTAATATCATTACTATTATTATCAGTATAATTATTATTATTATTATTATTATTATTGTGTCATTTGATACGCCTCACAGAAGCTGGGTCGCGTACAATTTCTTGTTACCTACACTCTATTTAATTTTCTCAAAGGATCTCTTTATCTCTTTGGAAGCAACACATCATTGTCTGGCGGTAGTTCTGGGCATTAGGTGAATTTCTTCCACCGCTGAGATTGTTGTTGTTGTTATTATTATTATTATTATTATTATTTATGGTCGCATCAACTACTAGGTCATTAGCGACCACTATTGCTTGTAACGGTATGGTAAGTGTGGGTTGGCACGATAATGATGATGATGATGAAAGGACGAAACACAATACAACCATGCCCGAGGCGGGACTCGAACCCGCGATCCTTCGGTCCGAGTTCGTTACGGCACTACTGCCTTAGCGATCTCGGCCACCGGATCGGCGCTGAGGTTGTTGTGTGGCGCCCTTGGCGTCTTGTCGCCTCGTGCGGCGGGCGCGAACGACGGCGCCAAGTGCTGCGCCACACAGCGGCGCGGCGCTGCGCGGCGTTTGCCGAGCGTGCCGGGGGACCGCCCAACGAGTTTCCGCGACTGACCGACGCCCTCTGTTTGCCTGTTCCAGACGAACGAGACGCTATCCAGAAGAAGACATTCACGAAATGGGTCAACAAGCATCTCAAAAAGGTAAGTCGCTGTCGACACACGTTCGGCACGCGCGTCACCGCGTCTCTTCTGAATGCGCCCGAAGAGAATGTCATGAGGAGTACGAACAGAAGTAAAGAAAAGGAAATTGATTCGGGAACGTCTGCAGTGTTTGTAAAGCCCTGAAACGATGCAATTGATGAATTGCCTTTTCTTGCGACAGGAATGTTCTAGTTCCTTGTGCTTTATCGTAAAATGCGCGTTAGTAAGCCGTACTTTCGAAAGGGAAGTGTGCAACTTCCACAGGATGTTCTATGTAAGCTTTTCCACCTCGTTCTAGATAGACTTGCGTTAAGAGTTCACATTGTACTCCTCGTTGCATTCTCTTGGGAACAGCAGGACATGCAAGAAGAATGTGACAGTATGAAAACTTTGAAAACACTATGAAAACGTTTCAATTCGTGATATAGTCAAAGCGTAAAAATCTTTTAATACTGCTTCATGTTTTATTTTATTTCGTCGGTTATTTCGAATATCCCAGTTTTCTCTGTAATTAAAATCAAACCCCGAAGGAATTTTGTTCGTTCTTGATATCTTTGAAAGTACAAGAAAGATATTTCCAAATTTGCATATTTTGATAAAATATGGATACCGTCCTCCGAATTATTTTTCAACAATTAGGGAACAACTTAAAAGCACACGTCTTTATAGAAACAACTGTTGAGTATTTCACGTGGTATTTCGACTTTGAAAATAAATTTCGTTAACTTACCACGATTATTTTATTTTTGACTGAAAAAAAAAAATCGTACCCTCCTTGTGAACCAGACTTGAGTACTTCGACTTTCTCTACGTATAGTGTGTCTGTGCGAAGCTTCCCGTACGGTCGTAAAGAAGACCCCCAACGCCTCTTAGACAAGAATTAGCGGCAACTCATCCCGTCGGCCTCCAGAGCGCGTGTAGTGTTTTGCACAGGTTGCCTCGTACGGAGGTAGTATTTGTTCAAGCTGCTGCTTCACGGACAGGAATAGCCGTTACACAGCACGCAGCGGCGCTCGCGGGCAGGACCGGAGTCCGTCGGAAGTGACGTCACTGGTCAACCGACGGCCCTCGTTTTCAGTCGAATGGCTCCCGGCGCGATTAATTGAAACGGCTGGGTGCGGTGGAGGACTCGCAATTGTTTGGCAACGCAATGCAAGAGAGAGGCGGGGGCGGAAATTGCGAATTTGCTGATTCCGGATGGATAGAGCGGGAGATTGATTTGGAAATTAGTGCTGAAGAGACCACTATAGTTTGATTGACGTTTAATAGGAACAAACTGTGTCTTGCTAATTACTTTGACATACAATTGAAATGTTTCCGAACGAAGCGACGATGGGAGTTCGTGTTTCTTTTCGATTAGGGAACAACTTAAAAGTACATGTTTTTATACAAACAACTGTTGACTATTTCACGTGGTATTTGTAGTTAGAGGAATTTACGTTAACTTACACGTATATAATATGTCAAAGCACTTTCGTGCGAGTTGTGTACATTACGTTAGTAGGAATTGGGATTAGTAGGAAAAATTCAAGTATTTACTCGTAGCAGTCACTCATAATTTTCGATCCATGTTGAATCGTGTCTCCCAGGGTTTTGTTTATAAGCGCATTGTATGCGGCTTCGGCTATGACTCGCGAAGTCGAATTTTGCAATCAATATATAGGAAACGGAAGTATACGTTTTCTCGCACGAAAGCGGAAAAATCTAAAAGAATAGTAGTACCTGTACGGAACGTATTTCCGCTATCCCTTTCAAAACTTGCCGCGTGTTGCAATGACGTTGCGTTGCCCCGAGCGCGAGGGCCCTTGCCGCCTCGTGAAGCGTTCTCGAAGCGCCGGCGGCAGACGCCGATGGCGGCGCGAGATTCGCCGGGAGTCGCGTGCGAGCAGCTACGTCTGGTCTCGCGCCTTCCTCACGACCGATTCCACAATATTCGCGTCTCACCGCCCCGCCAAACAGTTGAAGAGGCTCGGTTGTTGGCGGGTGAGCTCATTGGCTTGCCAGGTAGATGTGCTGTGACAGTGTAAAAGTATATTTACGCGTACGTACTTACTTCTTCAGGAATGTATTTGCGCAACTTTTCAATTTTACTAGATTCGATACATTTTTTTGACATTTTGAATGAGATCCTTCCCGCGTGTACAGGTGGGTTTTGTTCCCGTGGAGTATTGCATGTGCAAACGTTGATTGTCTGTCACGAGAGGGGGGGGGGATAGACAAGAGCCGAATACCTTGCGATGCTCATGATGTTGCAGGTATCTTTAGGTGGTCATTGTGTTCTTGAATGCGAGTTAAAACATAAGGGGTTATTACAAAGTGGATTATTTGTGGTTATGACGTATAGGATGATCGAATGTTGGTTATATCCTCTTAATTTTTATATTATTAGTTCCACCAACAAGTATCGAAGTTTTGGTTGTTTATTTTTCTCTCTCATCAACGGTTGTACGTTTGTTAGCGGCCACGTTCTGACTGTGACATATATCCAAAAATTTAAAATGCATTAATTCATGTACCTCATGTGTAATTCATTCGTAAAATTTTACAATATTAATTTACGTAAAATAAAGAAATTAAAAAAAAATGCGAATGTTAGAAGTATTCCAAACGGTCATTGTGTGTTATGGCGTCAGTTGAAATGAGGTTTGTTAAAGTAAATTGCTCGTCATGACATGACGTTGAGAGTATTCATGATATTCAATAAATATTGTGGCTAAGTGCATTTGTAGCACATCCACAATTTTTTTCGTTTTAAATTCCACTAATAACCTCACTTTCATGTTATATTTACCCCACAGGTGAGGCGTATATTTGGCATAGAAATATTTATTTATTTGTGTTTCTTCCCCGAAAACGCGTGTACTTTAATCGAGAAAACGCAGTTCTTAACTTGCCAAGTGGCCGTCGCCTGGTGACACTCAAGGAGGCGCGAATGACCTCTACATGAGGATTCAGAACTTTAGGGAGCCTTGTGCGTTGCTTTGCGGGAACGGCGCGTCTGCAGGGAAAGGACGCTCTGTCGCCCCTCCCCTTCACTCGGCGCGGCCCCTGCTGGAAATACCGGCGCCGTAAAGGAGCTGTTTTTAACGCAGACGGCTCAGCGCGGGTGGCGTCTGGAGCCCTTGTTTGTGTTTTCACGGCTCTTAATTTTTTGTAATAAAAAGCACAATGAAAGTTTTGCGAATCAAGACTTTATGGGCTATAATTTTGTGTTATTCTTCTTTCTCATTTGTTTTACTATTTTGCTTGGCAGTAAAAATCGATGGTCTCTGAATGTTAGATAAAATATTTTTTTCTCTGCCGCAAATGAGTAAAAACACTTACAAAGGCGTAGCAGTATTACTGTTAAGAGGTATATTGCATTAAAATAGGCATATTATATTTTGATAAAATGGTCCCTAGCGTTTTTTTTTGTCGTAGTGCGCTGTTAGAAAAAGGGAAGTCAAATAACATTATCAGAGCATGAGAGAGAAATAATTTAACTATTTATGTATGATATTCAGAAAATTTGAATTCGATGAAAATTATGAAATTGTGTTGTGTATTGGATTGCAAATTATTTTGTTGTGTGTTATAGTTTACATATTGGCACGGGGGAACTAAACCAACGATGGTTGAGTGAAGAGTAGTAATTACAACTGACAGAGCAAATGTTCAAAGCTCTTGGTGGTTATCACGAAGGTGGTGGTGAAGAAGGTAGAGGGGGTGCTGTGCGAGGATCCCGAGAGCCTAGAGGGATGGCGACGCGCGCGGGGGAGTGCAACGGGGCGAGGGGGCGTCAGAGGGGATGTCGCACATCAAACGCAAACGCAAGAGAACGGAACGCGCCGTCAGTGCTGTCGTCTTTTGGGGGATCCCCTCTGGCGTCCCTTCCTTGCGGTGTATGGCCTCGCTCCGAAGCGACACGCTTTGCCTCGTTACGCCCCGCTCAACCGCGCTCGCGTTTGTCCCATCCCGCCCCGCTCTATCTCAACCTTCCCCTCCCGCCGCTTGGTTTGTCCTTGTCCTCTCCGCCTCTCCACACCTTGTCCTTCCCGCCTCGTTCTTCACCTCCTTCGCCCGCTCCGCTGTGCCTCATCGCAGTCCCACCTCCCGTCTGGGTTCACTCCTTCCATCCTTGTCCCACCCTTCTGGCTTGTATGTCCTTTGTATCCCTCCAAGCTTTATCCCTATATTTTTCGCAATGTTTCTCACCATGTCGTTCACCTCCAACCTGCTGGGTTCTTCCCCTGACATTCCACTCCTTCCCTATTTATCCCTCCCTGTGATTCACTTTGCCTCGTATTTCTCCGCGCCTCTGTCTCGCATCGTTCCGACCCTCCTTGCCATCTCTGCCCATTCCTCCGTGAATTCGGCCGAAGGTGGATCGACTGTGACGCCACTTGTGGCAGCGATGAGCGCGTCGAACCTTTTAAAAACGAGTGCGGCTCTTTCCAAACTCATCCGTCAAGATTGTAGGTCCCAACGTTCTGCATAGAGAAAAAAAAATCTAAACTCAACATTATTAATCTTATATCAACAACATTAGCGTAGTTTGAATGATCGTATTCGATAAAAGCAAGTAAATATTACATTGAACTTGATCATGATTAAATGAATTGAGTGTGCAGTTACGCTTTGATCATTCACGATGCGAAAACTAAATGCTTCTTTGGGCCATACATAATAATATACGTAGTAATGTGTTAGTTCAAGTAATTGAAGGGGTCTGGATAAGTTAGTGCTACTCCTCATTTCAAAAATCCAAACGAAAGGTTTTAAACTGTCTCTTAAAACCAAACGTTGTAATCGAAATGCTGGACATACAGTTTATTAGAACGACAGCACGTCTGCAAAGAGCAGACAGAAGAGTATATAGAAAATAAGATATTTCATTGTACAAAAACTTCGTGTTTCCTCCGTTTGACAAAAACTATAGACACGTTGGTTAGCACTGTGTCGTCCGATCCCTTCTGTTATTCTCGTCAGTGCGGTAGCTGGCCACCCCTGCTCCAAAGTTCCAACTGCGTGTACGGAGAAGACGTCGTCCCGGAGGGAAGTACGCGTGGCCCCGGAGCCCAGCCCAGCCTCGCCACGCCGCGCCGTGCGGGCGTTCCGGCCCGGAGATCACAGACCCCCGCCCCCGGCCCGCGTGCGAGGGAGGGCTGGAGGTGGTCGACCTCAGGCGCGCTGACGCACCGCGCTATGTAAGGCTCTCCTTGCGAATAAGGCCCCGACGCCACGGCTCTCGAAAGCGCCAATATCGCTCGCCTGCGCCGCGACGTGGGCGCCAAGAGCTGCTAAGGTGGGATGAAAAGGAGGAGAAATTGACTCAAGTCTTAAAGAGGGATCCGACTCGATTCATTGTTGTGGAGGGTCGTGGTGTTCTCATTCTGCTCTGAGCCTAGCCGCTAGTGCATTGTTTGGGGTGACCCGAATTAAAGGAGGCCTATTTTTAGGGGATATTTTTATTATTTAACTCATTTGTATTAGTTATACACTTTTGTAAAAGGGGGCTGGAATAATGTTTTGCGGACAGGCCCGCACTCATCTCGTTAATGCCAGGTCTTCGGAATAGATTACTCACTTCATTGAGCCAATACAGAGGTGGGGGCGGGGGGCGAACGTGGTTTGATTTTGTAAACTGATACGTTACTTGAGGTTTACGACCAAGTTCGATATCGGTAACATCAGTCATGTGGCGATACTTTTCACTTTCCCATGTTCTCAGAAAAAAATAATAGCCATAAATACTTTTTAATCATCTCATAAAATTACAACACCGATTTTAATAGATTTTTACTTAAAAAACTTCTTCGACCCTACTAATCAACGAATTAGAATATAGCCTACGTTGTTGCCTTACTTAGTGACCGATCGTTTCATTTAAGTTTTTATTGGAAAATCTTGTTAGTGATGTACAGCGACACATGCTCATACAAGAGTACAGCTTCAAAAAATCACCATATTGGGCGGAATGTTTAGATGATAATTTCTTGTCGTGTCTCTGGAAAATGTTGACCTGACAAAGCGTCATCCAAATTAAGCCTCACCACCAGACCGTTGTCATCTCAGTATGCAGTCCTTGTGCTTGCATCCAGGCGAAATCTCTCGCCATGACGTCGCTCGTTCCGCGGAATTCGATGCATAGCCAAGTCCTCCCCGCCCGAGAGAAAAGATCGCCGCGCGTTGAGGCCGCAGGTTTTCCCCGGACCCCGCCGCCGCCGCCGCCGCCGCCGCCGCCCGGATTCCATGTTTATTAAATCCGCCGCCTCGAACCCATTACCTTCGAGGCACGGGCCGCGTGGGCAGGGGCGCAGTGGCATTTGCATGGCAATGGGCGGCGCGGGCGGCCGGGCGTGGGTCGTGCCCAGGCGGGGTCCATGACGCCGCGAGTCGCAGGGGTGACATTGTGTTTTAAAGCAATACTCCAAGCAGTGATATGCTGGCTCTCCAAAGCATGCACGCGATGTACACAGTTTAAAATATGTCGATATTTTGATTTACCAGTTTTCTTTCAGTTGTGCGACGATGAGGAAATGAATAAATTAAATCCAGCGGTTAGCTATCAATGGTAGCCTTGAATATACGTAAAATATTAACTACTTTGAATATATATTTGACATTCTGTAACGAAAGGTTGTGGACTTTGACAGGTGTGGGCTAGGGAAGAAAAATGTGGAAATAATTGTGGTTCCGTGATTTAATCTGAGAGATTTAAATATTATCTTGATTTATTTATCATCTAAGAATCACATAATTATCTTATTTTCTAAAAGTCCAGACTGTGTTTATCGTGTGTTTCGATTTAAAAACAAGACAAAGATAAAAATCAATAAGTTTTCGATGTATTGGTTCGGAAATATATTTTTAATTCTAATTTTCTTAAAGTTATAATGTAAAGTAACGTATTTGATGGAGAAGCAAATTATTGCCATCTAGAAACACGGACTTTTTTGTGTCTCTTTTAGGTCTGTTATGCGCGGTTCTCTTCAGATTTCGTGTCGTAGCTGCGTGCTAGTCGGCAGAATTTAGCACGTTATGCACAAGCTGAGTGCTCGAGTATCGCAAATATCTTTTGATTGCACGTATCTGTGTCAAGAAACGATCTTTCGTGAGGTAGTTTCTTTTAAAGCGCATTTCATAATAGCTTTAAAAATAACGTTCAATGTTATTAGACTACTTACTCAAGTGAACCAGTGTACCAAGGAGTTTACATCTAAAAGAATCCAATTCTTGCGACGATATTAACAATAAAAACTACCACTTCAGAAATTCTTTTTTCTGACGTCCTCATGAAGAAGAGTAATGACCCTGTAACGGCAATTTATTTAGAACCTTCATTTTTCACATTCCCTTTAACAGACAACGCTTTCTTTCAAAACCGCACGAAATATCTACCACTCTTGTATCCTGTCAAGAAAAGACGTAAATCGAAGATGTTTCCGGTCGAAGGGCGAATATTAATTACGCCGTGAGTTAAGCTCCAGGCGCCGGGTAGAGCCTGCCATTTTGCATCCGCGATTGCTCAAGAAAATGGCGGTCGTCTTCCGCTCTGGGGCTTCCGGGTGTAATCAAAGCTCCCTGCTGGGTAGGGAGCGCCATCTATCTTCACTAGCGCCGGGGGCCTGGGAGCGAAGCCCGGCGGACACTTTGT